ATCCGCGCTTAGCGTAATTAAAGTGACGTTTTAAAATTCACAACGGACATCGTAAAAGCGAAACGCGTTTGTAAAAGAGGAGTTTTGTAAAAAAGAGTTTTGTAAAAAAATCCCCTTTTAATATATTACAGCAGGCTCAGAGCGAAGTAAATACGGCAGCTTAGGCAACGCTTTGAAAATTTATCGGTCCAAAGTAAGAAATTATTTCGGAGATTTTTAGTTGGGAGCTTTTAAGTCAAGAGCCATACAAGGTATTTCTTTACAAGCTTTAAGTATGACCCTGACATACGTAAGGGCTTCAGGAAATGTCACGTCGTGATATAAATAGCCGTGCGGGGTTTCTTTCATCTATTCATACGGTTTAATGTAAAGAAAATAAACAGAAAATAATATTACAGAGAAAATGTAAGGAAAATAATAAGTTAAGTCAAAATTAATTGGTATTTTTTCTTTTAATTATCACTGAAAATTATCATAGAAATGAAAAATACGTGCTATGAATAGGAACATTTTAATATTTGTAGCAATTTAGGAGATTTGATGTTAAAACTTTAGTAAAAAATTAACAAGATAATTTAACTAGGAACTAATATGTTAAGATTCGAAGCCACCAGAAACATATTTGTTCTTTTATATGCACAATTGCATCTAGTATACTTCATTTCGTATCCTTACAAATCTATCCGTATTCTCCGTATTATATCCGTATTCCGTGACAATTCTCTATAACGTAAAATGTCCAACAATCGTCATTTATCAATGGCCTTAACTAGCAATTCGTAGGATAAGGGCGCTATCAAACGAACAACTCAATATAAGAAATAAGCGGACAATGATAACACGCCTTAGTGACGGTCAAACTGCCGAGGTGACTCGTAAAATGCCTACATCACGATCTTAGGCTTAGTGTGTACAGGGCAGATACACACTAGCGATTTTTTTACACATGCGACTGTAATCAGTGTAAAAATAGAGAGTTTTCTGATGCTTAAAATTGCATTAAAACTAATTTAGACTAATAGTTTAAGGTTATTTTATAAACAGTTGTAGAATTTTGAAAAAAATTTTTATAGATTCTTCATTTTTTTTTTACTAAAGTTTCAATGAATCATAATATTCCTGGAACTGGTATCTTGCGACAAATTCGTCGCACGTTAGTATGATTTTTATGAACTTTATCATTACGCATTCCGTCTCGTGGCCATCAAATGTCCGGGACCCCTATAAATAAGCTACAAGGCTCCCAGATTGCCGGGATATAAATGAAAGGGTGCAGGAAATTAGGGTTTTTTCACAACGGAACCGAGTCGCAAGTTTGTCGGCGTCTTTGGGCCACTAAAACATTTTTAATACTGTGAAAGGCTACGCTGTATTGAGCTTTTATAAAGAATGATGGAAGGTTTTACGGCGGCAGCTGACTTTGTGTATAATCTTTTTAAGAGCGGTCAACGGCTAAAGCAACCGTTGCCAAAATACTTTTAAAAAATAATTTCGTGTTTATGATTTTTCGTTCCCTGTTAATAGCAACAATAAACTTTATTAGAAAAGAAGTATTTTTAATATAAAAAAACAAAACTCAGTTACTTTCCTTTCTTGTCAACCTTATTTCTATGTACCATAATTTACTGGAATATATTGGAATTGTGTTGTAAAAATTCAAAAATTCTAAAACATAACTTCCACTTTTATCTATTGGTCTCTTCTCTTATATTGTAATTCTACGTCTTACAGTGGTAGATAATCTTGAAGTTTATATTCTGACACATTAACTAAGAGTGTTCACAAAATGTAGTCTTAAAGTAAACTGTCTGACTTAATTGAAAAATTGCAATTACACCTCCGTCCGTATCTGCAACTATACGGGAGTAAGCACCGTGAAGCGAACAAAATTACAGCCGTATAACACGACTACTCTGTAACAGTCACTGTCAGACTTACAAGAGCACTTTTCCATTAACTCGCGCGCTAAACGAATGTAAATCCTGCTACTCACTTGTAAAGTGACCATACAAAATTATGTTAACGGATAAGTCCTAATAATAAGTCGATAGAACACGAATTTCACGACGTTTCGCGTGATACTATGTGATACAAGCCTCACAGTTAAACTAAAAATTTAACATATGTAGTATTTAATTAACCAAATATCCTTATAATTCTGTACGTAGTTTTGAAACTATCAGTATGGTTACCCTAAACACATGGGTGCACGATCCTGCCAGTTGGCTTCCGCGTTAATAATGAATTAATTAATGCATCGTACCAAGTCAGACGGGCGGGGTGTACTACCAACGGAACTCGGGAACTTTACGCGCCGGTGCACCCGAGTACAGGTTACCGTAAGTTTTAAGACTTTTTAATCTCAACTAGATGATTAAAACATACTTTGATTAAGGATGAACATTAAAAAATTAAAATCTCAAAGAAGAATAATATTTACTCTCACCGAAATGCAAGAAGAATTTCTCGTCAAACTGTAACTATGTACTGTTTCTTTTCCTTTGCCTCGAAATCAAATGCGATTGAAGTGTATTCTATACAAACTTTTAGATGTAATAAACAATCATATTTAGTTGTGGTTCTTCATTAAATTTAGCTAAAAAAATACCTTAAGCAATAAGGAAAAATGCTACCAACGTTTTACAACAATTTGATCGTATTTTATTTTCCGCTGAATCACTCTTTCATAGGGTAATACTTTTTTTATCCGGTGTCAAATGAAAATCAATTTGAACGTTCTGATGGATGTAGTCTGCTAATGATTAATGACTTTTAACATCGAGGTAAAGCAATCGGAAAAGGTAAAGCCATACTGAAATTTATCATCATCATGTACCCTGAAAATCATACTAATGTTATAAATGCGAAGTTTAGATGGATGGATGTTTGTTAGTTTGTAGCCTAAACCGCTGAACGGATATCGACGAAATATGGCACAGTTGTAGAGGGTAGTCTGGAAGTATACATAGGCTACTTAGTTTTGTTATTTTTGAATTCTACGCGGACAGAGTCGCGGGCGAAAGCTAGTCTACTATAAATACCAGCAGAAACTAAGACCAGGAAATTAAATGTAATTAGTTAGAAAACAATAGCGAATGAGGTCTTACAACTTTCGAACGTACTAACATATATCAGAAAGACGAACAATGACAACAAATACTACCAGCAAAACTGCAGTGACTTCCTTTATCTAACACTTTGATCCATCATTGATATGAAACATGCAATCTAGGAGAGACCCAAGAAGAGCTCTAACATTGTCTACCGCCAGATGAATCTCTTTAGAACTCGTAGCCGTCCCAACTTTTCTACTAAGCAGTAATCACACACGGTTCGTTTTTAGAAGATACGTCCCTTGAGTATGTTAAGTTATGCCGTACTAAAACTAATTAAACTAATCAAAACATACAATTAACATGCGTTGTCCATTCCGCCGCGAGAGCCGGGTCCTGTGACGTCATTTAACTTTATAAAGTTTCCGGCTAGTTTAGGGATCGGTTGGGGACCATAGTTTATTGTTACATGAGTTAACGCTATAACTCATACAGTTCTGACTGTAACTACGTTACATGTTGGAGATTAACTCTGATTGTTTGAGTTATAATTCTTAATCAAATTATTAATGTTACCTAAACCCTTATCAAACTAAAAGTATTTCAATTTAGAAGGTTTTTCACCAGAATACGTAAAGACAAACAAAGCTTTATCTATCTATCTATACTAATATAATAAAGCGTAAACACACACTTCTTTGTTGCCTAAGATGTCAGCAATTACAGCATATTTTTGAAAAACTATTTCTTTAATAAAAAGCCCTACACTTACGACACAGTTTAGGCTATATATTGAAACGCTATTAAACTTGGAGGGTAAATAAATTGTATACATTTGTAATAAAAAAAACTACAAGCTGCCAACATTAAGAATACAAGGATTATTTTGTAACGATAATTTAGACATTTGCAATCGAGAATTTGAGAAATGTAAATAGTAAATAAAGTTTTATAATTCTATGCGGGTGAAGGCGCACGGGAACAGATAGTTGTTAATTAAAACATAAACAAACTGTCCAAAGAAACACATGTTTTTACACATACTTTACTTCGAACAAATAAAACTCAAATAAGCTTTCAAGTTTCGAACAAAAAACCACAAACCTATCGCTGGAAGTTTGCAAGAAAATAAACAACTTAAGCGGCACTTAACATGTTTGAACACGTTCGACAAAATTAAGTGAAACAACACTGCAAATTTCTCTTCTTCGTCGTTTTCCCACGTCATCACTAATACGGGAACCCCCGTCTGGCCTGATCGCGTTTCAAACCCAATTTCTCAAACTGCACATTACATTAGCCGTCTAAACATGTTCAAACAGTACGTGCGACCTCCGCCATTCAAGGGTGCTTACGGACTGGAGACCAGAATTTTTAGCTACAAACTTTGTTTTTCTTGTCTTTATCGAATAGAATTAACCTCGTGTTTTTTTTTTTAATTCAAGTCTGTTTAGTAACTGCCGAGTCTTCATAAATGTAAAACTAGCAAGATATGATAACGTACCCGGTATCTGTGGTTACAATATCAGAATATCTGATTGTATATAGAAGCATGAGTATAAAAATAACAATTTATTAACAAAATAATCTAAACAGAAATATAACTAGGACCCCACAGATCGCGAAACATCTTGTCGCTCGCAGTCCGCTTCGGGGTCGATCGGAAATTGAATTTCCGATATGATACGATCCGCTAACCGATACCGCAAGAGTCCAGTTTGAGTCCAACGATACTGAATCAATGGTTAATCGAAATGCAATTGTAGGGAGATTAGACATATATTGTAATTGACTTTATAAACAGAAATGGTAATACTATTTGCTTCTCATCATAGATTATTTGACTATGAAACGAAAAACAATTTTGCAATGTTAAGAAAAAAGTCTAATGAAAACGATATATTATATAAATAAATAATAAAAATAGAGAAATAAAAACAAGGAACGTATGTTAAAAAACGAAAGTAACAAATATATTGATTGAAAGCCATAAAAATTTGAATCCACGATAAACTTCATGTTTCGCTTGAAGGTTTCACCAAGTTTCGAAGCTTCCCGTAGTATATGTTATTAATGATAGCCTTTCGGGATTTCCTTTTAGGTTCTGAATGATGCGTTGGGTCACCTCTTCTCTTGGCCCGAGGTCTAAAACTTGTTCTGTTACTCGAATGCGGCTGGTTAGACATAGACCTAACATTCTGCATTGCATTTCGATCCAAAGATAAAAAATCTCCTTTGCTTACGTCGCATGACTCCTTTTGATTAGAAGTCACGACTGCCAAATTTGGTAACACTGTTGTCCTACAATGTTTAAAAATATTAAGTAAATCACTTTCGCTCACGACTCCGTCGGTGTAAAGTTAAAAAAAAAAATCAAGTAGCCTATCTGTTCTTCCAGACTATCCTATACGTCTATGCCAAATTTCATCGAGATTCTTTTAATTATTTAGGTGGTATACTCTAACATCCATCTAAATTTCACTTTTATAATATCAGTAATTTCAAAAAGTTATCTGTAGAATTGATGAAAACAAGAATTTATTCCGATATTGACACCCAGTTCTAATCCAGTGATAATTTCCTAGTTACATTACCATCTTTATCATCATCTTTATGATACACTTAACCCTGGTTTACGCTGCAGAAAAAACCTATCAACATCTTTTTAAATCCCTGCCGAAAAACAGATACCAGCATGTTTTAACGTAGAAACTTATAAAATGTTATTGATTATTCTTCATACCGCACATCATCAGCTGATTGTACATTCAAGAGAACAACATCATTGACATTAGTAGGAGTTTGCACTGACGCATCATTGTCCTCAGAAACTAACGTCTGCACTCCCTTGCTTATATCTTCAGAACTGATGTCACTTGAACTTTCATTAGTCATTATCAGGGATTTAAAATTGCAATAAAAATTTATTCTTCTTTACAAAAAATAGTAAATGTTTTAAAAAACTCCTGTCAAATTCAGTCACATTATTCTTAAATTACGTCTCAGATTATACAGAAAGTTGAAAAGAGGTTATCCATGTCCTAACTGGGTTCTTTTTTAATTAAATTATGGGTCTTTGTCCTAAAGATTGGATGCAACTGAAGAATACAAAATCTTTTTCATAAAACGCTACAAGTTCATTTGAAATTCTTTTTACACCTGACTTGATAGAATTAATTAAAGACGCCAGTAGCTCTCTCTTGGCTTGTTTATACTGTAACGTAAATAATTCAACCGGGGGCGAGGCTAGCGGGGAAGAGGAGGGAATGAAGCCGGATGAAGTACGGGTAAGAAACATTTCATTGCGGCTGCTTACGACACACGGGGGAACAATGCTTAATAAGCTTTATAATTAAACGCAAACAGCGCCTCGCCTTGAACGGGCGGACTTATTAGGCGAATTCCGCAGCTCTAAATTAGCTAGACGCCTCAAGCTGAGTGCCGCTGCATGACTACACCTGACTAATTTTATTCCGTCTCTTTATAACAGTAACTTCTGCTCGCTACGGACTCTTACTATTTAACTTTTTAATTTAATCCGCAAACATGAAGGTATGATTTATAACAGAAAACTTTATCGTAACCAAGAATTATAACCTTCAATTTTAATAATTCATTACTATTTTTAATTTAGTTATCTAAAATGCTTTAATATTATCAAAACCTTTATACTAGTTGCTACCCATTTGTCAAAATCCACCGAATCCAATCCAATTTTCGAGCTAAAGTTGATTATGTGACAGATGTGGGCAACCCGTTCTGTTAAGTAGGACCACCTTGGATTACCGTCTCACTGTAATCACGTCCCGGCCTAAGAACTGTGTAATTACGTACGCGCCCCAACGGCCCTGTCCACAAGCTCCCTGCCACGGCCCATTCTCGTAATGGAATTAGCTGTTTATCCTGGGGTGTTGCTTATTGAAGAGTTAGCTATACTAGATGTGACCAATCTCTGCTAAACTTAAAACTTTTTTCGTATAAATCTTAGAAGAAATAACCAGATGAAATTGAAAGACTAGATTTTTAACAACAGAACAATTAAAATTGGTTAAGAAAATCGCAACTTCTGCAACAAAGCTTATGAACATGAAACACACGCGATTTGTCAATGACATCAACATAATAAATCATATTTACGTCGCTTGTAAACACAACCGTGAATTTTATAAAGCGTGACACTTATATACTATCGCTAACTCTTCTTTTTCTAAAAGATAGAGAGAGGTGGAATTATATGAGTTGTATGAATGTGTAGATTCACGATTTGTATATCTAATATCACTTCCAGTCAGCTACATCTACCGTAATTCCCTAACGCCCTCTACTTCCTCGGCTCGATTTATGTATCGCGTTACTTTTGTATCGGCAGCTCTTTCCGGTATAATTTACGGGACTTGCACTCAGTACTCACTGTTCGCTACCACTTATTGCACTTAGCCTACATTGGCTATAAAGCTTGCTGGTTTGAATACGCCACCGTAAGGACTCTTAATATATTAGAAAGGAGTTTCGGTAATAATATTGGTACTATTAAAACGATAAAATAAAACCTAGAAAGAAATGAAATTGAAGTAATTTAAACGAAAGGAATAGGGAAGAGAAGAGACTTAGAGTCGACAGAATAGAGGTTGTGATGATGATGATGATAAAATGACCACTGTGATATTCTTGTTAATAACTCATTAAAACCTAACAACAATTTTTAAATAAAAACTAAATATTCAGTATAGAGGTCCAATTTGTCTATTTTTCGTTGATTAGTAATAATAATCATTCAAAAGAGAAACAATTTTAATTATCAGAATCTTATGAAGACAGTGATAACCTCACATGAGGTCTAAGTCACTCACTTACTATATTTTATCAAAACTTTGATTAAGTTATTTAAGTCATCCGGGTTTCAATTTGGGTCGTCTCAGTTGTCAACGAATTATCAAAATGTTATCTCAATCTATTGAAATATTGATTTCGAATACAAAACTTGGATGGATGTATGTATGTTAATATTTAACTCCAAAACGGATAAAATATCTGTATGTTAAAACAAATAAAGATTTCCAGTCTGGATAGGCTAAACAATTTATTTTTTGATTCCACTCAGACGAAATCGCGAGCAACTAGTAATATTATTCAAGATGTTATCTTAGTTTAAGATCCTTTTTCTTCCTATTTTTTTAGATATATCAGTTTCTTTATAACATCTAAGTTGTTAGTAATTTATTTCTTTCATCACGTCTCTGAATGTAGACGCAAAGAATTTTTTCTTTTTCAGGTTATAACGTTTCTCATATCCTTCCACAGGTATTTTTATTAAACATGTAAATGTCTGGGAAAGATACGTACGTGATAATACGTTTACATAAATCGTTTAAACGTTTATATAAATGATAGATCACTAAAAGTGACGATCTATAGGTATATGTTGAGTATAATTTTACTGTTATTCAAATACTAGCTGACACCCGCGATTCCGTCCGTGTGGCATTAAAAAATCTTAGCCTCTGTGTTCTTCCAGACTACGTTCTACATATATACCAAGTATTAGCAAGATTCTTAGAGCCCTTCTGGAGATATGTAGTAACAAACGTCCATCCAACAATTCATCTAAACTTTCGTATTTAAATTAATACGATGTAAGAAACGGTGAGTGTTAGTCCTAAAATCTACATAAGACTAAATTCACCTTTTTTTCTAGTTTTTAAATTTAAATCTACCTTTCTATTCTTAAATAATGCCCGTGAAAAAAACATTAAGTGACTTCTATCCCTTTTTTCCTGACAACCAAGTTTTTACCGCGTGGACGTCGAAAGTACAAAGTCTATTAGGTTGCAGTGGGGCTCAGATGTTTGAGCAAATTGAGTGGCGGAGCGCACGGCTAATATATTTATGACTTGTTTAACATTTTAGCCCGACGGAAATGTGACAAACAAGCCGACCACCGGACTTTGTTAAATTATGTACATCTCAAACATGATAATGTTATAAAATTCAATACATATATTTAGAGAATGGACTCGTGTAAATTAAAGTATAAACATAAAGCAGGCTAGATACGCTCAGTCCTAACAGTTTTAAATTAACAACACTGATAATTTTAGACTGTGTGTGTACAGTTTAAGAACTAAGGTCTGTAGCGTGCTTTATATACTAATGACTTGCTAGTAAACAAACTCCCTTTCCGGTGTTCTAATTTGAACCTAGTTATTTAGTAGATTTTATTTGTAAACCTTTTAGCAAGCGGTAGCAATACAAATGTACAAAATCAGTACAGCAACATTGGCAACTTCACAATTCCGTCCTGTTAACTGGCATTAGTGTGATAAATAATTATCAAATATTGAAACAAAAATGAAAATCATTCTCTTCGAGTCTTTGAACGTTGAAATCTAGAGGAGATATTGAGCCGGCACTCCGATTTCATCCCCCACTTGGGCGACAGAGGTAAAAGCATCCGCTCCGTTTACACAGGATGTTTGAAGACCACAAACGATTGTGCACTGAAATATTCAGCGAGACTTTATTAAAATACTGCTCTTTGAAATTTGCTCAAATTGAATATTACTCAAGATTCTACGAATAGTAACCTTTTATTTCAAGAATTAGTTGACGCGATTTGGACTCTTTCACTTTTTTATTTAGTGTTTTAAATGTTGCAAACAGAAATATTGATAGTTAGGTGATTATTTTGTTACATAGTGCATTCACACAGACTTTTAAGATAAATACTGAAATGCTGAAAGTTTGAGATGTTATTTTTAAAAAATCTTTTTTATCAAGAACTTTTAACGTATATACATGAGCAAATAGTAAAGCCAAATAATAAAATAGTTAATCCGAAAAAGGTTGTTATACAAATTCTATTACTTTCAAGCAATTAAAACATTTTACAACACAATTCGGATATTAAGTGGTGATAAAATTTAACGTACAGTTGTAGAAAGTTTCACGGTATTTAAAATATCATACAAAGGATAATGGTTGGTGGTTGGTAGTTAAGGTATGATTTCATACAGAGGTTGAACCGTCCTCGGCAATTATATAAATGGTTAAAACTTGTCGATGACTCAATTAGAAATAAATTGACTACCGTGGTTTTTGGTTGTAAGGCCAATACAGTTTTAATGGTTTAAAATTTCTTCTTTTAAATTCTGGTTTACATTTTTTTATAAATTAGTGTAATGAAATGAAGATACAAGTCGCATTTCGATAACATTTTTAACATGAAAAGTTCGGTTGTTTATTTGCAATGTTTTAGTAAATAACTAACATTCGCCCGCGACTTCGTCCGCGTGGAATTAAAAAATGCTAAATACTAGCTTATGCGTTCTTCCAGACTATCCTCTACGTCTATACCAAATTTCATTGAAATCCGTTTAGCTGTTTATGCTACAAACTCTAACAAACATCCATCCATCTAAACTATCACATTTATAATATTAGTAAGATATATACTATATTAATTTACTACTAGCAATGTTTACCATTTGATAATCAGCTCTTAAATCAAAAAATCAAGCTTGGCTCATACATGTATGAAACCGTAGTAAATAAGGTTTGCAATTCAATTCAGATATCAGATCGTACGTAGCTCGTGTGCAGATGTGAATAGAAAAATCAGAAAGCATTGAAACTCTGGTCTTAGAATTGAATTTTCCAATGGAATTCTAAAGATCAATAGAAACGTGGTAGTAAGTTAAGATTTTCTCGATGCAAAACATCAAAATTGTTGATGAAATCTGTGTGTGTTTACGGTTATTCTTTGTTGCTTAAGATGTCTGTAATTACAGTATATATATGAATAATTTCATCTTTAATTAAAAGCACAACACTTATAGCACGCTTTAGGCGATATATTTTCACGCTATTAAACTTAGGGGTAAAATATTTTGGATAAAAAGCCTAAGGTGGGAAAGAAACCATAAGTTGCTACCAACATCAAGGAAACATGTCATTTTGACATATGCAATAGATAATTTGACACATGTAAACAATAAAATT